GTTAGCCTGTTTAATACATAAGCCGTTTGGTTTATCCAATAAATAGCCTTTACGACAAACAGGATAACATTGAACGGTACAGTTATCGGGATCATCGATGATGGGTGAACCTGGTTTAGGATTTGCACAAGTAGCTGGATTACTAGGTGGACAGCCACATTTTGTGCCAACTGGACATCTAATTGAATCACAATCTATAGTCACATTTTTWTGGGGGTGGGGGTGGGGTGAAACAGATAGTTATACAAGTAATTAATGATAATAATGGTATAAAAATCAATCAAAATATCTTACCATTAGGTGGTTGTGTAGGATTGGTAACTAAAAWTTTTTTTAATTAATTAATAAYATTTAATTAGTTTTTAATAAATTAATTTTTATTTTAATATTTATATAGATATATATATATATACCGGGAGTTTCAGCAGTTACCGGAGCTTCTAATAAAAAAACAAAATTAATTTTAGTTTTTTCAAAAAAAAAACAAACAAAAGTTATCATTCATTTTGTGTATGACTATTACTTGTTATCAATGGACAGTTGTCTTTGGGTATACACTGGTCATCATTAAGTACAAAGCCGTCATCGCATATACAGCCGACAATACATTTCCGTTTTTGTTGCTGACTATAATAACAGGATCTCCTTTTACCGACACCACCGACACCACGTTTGTCATTGCAAGTACGGGGACACTTGCTCAGGCATCCACATTTATATCCATAAGCGCAATGGATATTATCGCAGGCTATTATTGATGGGAGGGAGTCGGATGGGGGGGGGGTTTCATRTATTTTTAATGGAAACTTTAAAAAAAGAAAATTATTAATATATTACGGTTTGATGGCTTCGGTGGGTAATAATGACCTCCTCCTCCACCTCCTCCTCCTGCTTCTGGATAGCCACCATCACCCGGTGCTTGATAATACAATGCTGGTGGATAATACATTGGTTTGTTATAGACAACATAGGGATTTCTATAGGGACCTACACCTCCTACTACTCCACCATACTGTCCATTATTATTATTATAATTGCCATTATAAGCAAAAATAATAATAATACATTGATTTAAAGYCAATARTAAAAGTGCCGTYAAATACATGATTATTGATCCACACATTTACTATACTATTTAAAAAATATATATATATAAAAAATTGACACTAATTTTTTTTGTTAACTAAATTTATAATTTTTGCATAAAATGTTTTTCAGCTTAAATACTGATGATTTTTTAATTTAAATTATGTTTATATATATAATATATATATATTAGTAATATTATAGTTTTTTTAAAACGTGTAAATTATTGTAAAATATTTTATTTCAAAAAAAACATTTATCAACACTTTGTCAAAATATTTCAAAATATTAGTATTTATTAGTTTGTTWTGAAAACATTATCKCAATAAATAAAATGATAGATTTATGTTAAATATAAAACTTAATTAGGATTTTATAATAAATTTTAAATATTTTGATAAAATAAAACATAAAAACATATTAATATATATATTAAATAGTCATAAATTTTTATTTGAGATGAATATATATACTGTATATATATATATATATATATACTGTATATATATATATATATATATCACTAATAGAGAAAAATCAATGTAAAATATAAAAAATAAAAATGTAAAATAACAACAAAATAATTGTTTGATTTTTTATTTTATTTTTGGTGTTAAAAAAATGTTATTTATAATTTAGTAGATAATACWATTATATACTAATAATATACATACACACAGTAGTAATAGGTGTTTAATTACAGGTACGGTATGTTATTGTAGGGTGGTTTCTACCTTTCCGCTGGTGGTGCTGGAGCTCCACCACTGTCACCACCACTACTACTACCACCACCACCACCACCAGCCTTGCCGTGTCCTCCTTTATTATGACCACCACCACCACCGCCGCCGCCGCTACTTTTATGGCCACTTTTTTGCTTATGACCTCCACCACCACCACCACCACCTCCTCCTCCATGTTCACCACCACCACCACTTTCCTCTCCACCTCCACCTCCTCCATGTCCACCACCACCCCCACCCCCACCACCTCTTCCACGTCCACGTGAGCCTATAATTTAAAAATATCAAAAAAAAACAATTATTAATTKWAGACTTATATATATATAATAATTTATTTATTTAATTAAAAAATAAAATTAATTTTCTAATWATTATTATTRATTAACAAWTTTTTTTTCCAATACATTATTATTAATAATAATAATAATTAAAAATAATTATTAGAAAAYTATTTAAAGTTTTTTAATTAAATAAATWATTTATTTAATTAAAAACTTTAAATAATTTTCTAATAATTATTATTGATTAACAAATTTTTTTCAATACATTATTATTAATAATAATAATTAAAAAAATAAATAAAAATAATCTATTTATTTTACCAGCTGAAACTTGACTATAATTTAAAACTATTAGTAAAACWATTAGCAAAATTGCTAAACATAATAATTTATTATCCATTGATATGATATTGATATTAATATTTGTTGTGGGTTAATTTCTATATAATAAATATATATATATATTCACAATAATAAATTTTCTAATTCAAAAAATAAAAATAAATAATTACTAATTAATTAAAAATCAATTAATATTTTTTTACAATTGCTTACTTTTTATATATATGGGAAAATAAATGATTTTTTTCAATGATAATATTATATTGAGTAATTAGCAATAGCAAATAAGCTGATTAAATATCTATAATTAAATAAATAGCACTGATATCTACCCCCCCTAAAAAAATATTATAATTATTACTGTATTAAATAATAGTTTTTTTAAAAAAATTATTTTTATTTATTTAGCAACTAGTTACTGGTACCTTTATAATAAATAACTTAAATAAATAGCGATTTTTGTTATTGAATTAATTATTAATATTTAAAAAAARAKTATTTTCACATTTACTAAACACTTTATTTTATTTTAAATAAAATATTAAATTTTATGATTAAAATTAAATCTACTATACATTAAGTATAGTTAGAGTAATACATAAATAATTTWTTATTTAATAAATAAAGCAAATTAATAAATTTTGTTTTTTTCAAAAAAAAAATTAAATTACATTTTTAAATATTAAATCTGATATATTTATTACKATATATAAATACAGTTTACTGTATATATATATGTATATSCCTTAATGTCCATGTGCTTGATGATCATGGTCATAARTACATTGTTTGGGTATTATGACTGGGTGACTGGGTGGCCACCCTTATCGGCACCTTTATCAGCAGCAGCACCGGTATGTTTAGAATCATCATCGTCATCTAATAGATTTTTTTGTTTAATTAAAAAAAAATACAAAAATAATTTATTAAAATCAATTTAAAAAAATATAACCCAGTATATWRTTATATATGTTATATAATAGTATTRTATTACCAAGAGCATCTATATAGAGCACAATCAAACATATAACAATCATCAATGTTAAAATTTCCATGTTGAATTTTTAATTATAAATAATTTTTTATATTTAAAATAATTTTAATATTTATAATAAAATTTTTAGTTTATTTAAGTTATAATATTTTTTTAAAGTAAAAGTGTATTTATATATATGAATAATATACGAYACTGTAAATAACATTATAGTTTTTTTTGTGTGTGTAATAAATCTGTTCAAACATGTTATTTAATTTATATATATGATTTAACTCATGTTTTATCTGAGTAAACAATTGTTAAATAATTATATTGTTAGTAATTTAGTTAAATTTGATYAWAAAATAAATTTATATCATACAAAATATTATAAATTATTTTATATTATCATAAATATATATAAACCCTAAATAATTATTAAACATTTAGTTTTATAATATTAATAAATATTTTTATTTGTTTCAAATACTATTAATACTTAATGTTTTTACAMTAATACTAATAATTTTTTTAAAAAATAATAAGTKTCAAATAAAAATGTTTAATTTTTATCAATAATTTTTAATATTTATATTATTTATTTTAGTCAAGTTATAAATGTTTAATTTTTATRTATAATAAAATAATATTAAAATATTGATTAAAMATTTAAAATAACAAAAATTGTTTTCACTCTCAATAATACATTTTAAATATAAATATTTATAAAAACTATTTATARATACAATATAATGAATATATATAGTAATATCTATAAACAAATACAATTTAATAACAAAATGCGATTATTATTTTGTTTATTATAAWTATTTTCAAAYWATTTTATAAGTTATCAAATTAGCAAAAAAAATCAAATGTKTGTTTGAAAAATAAAAACAATATTTGATTTGTAAAAAAATTGAAATACAATTATTATTATTATTTAGTTAAAATATTTTTTTAATTTATTTATAAAAATTTATGATACTAACTATTATATATATGTGTGGTTTTAAATTAAATTTTAAATATAATATTATAAAAAAAATTGTCAAATTAGTCAAATAAATGATAAATAATTACSGATTCATAGCTACTGTTTTTTTCAAGACTATTGTTATAATATTTTTCATGAAAATTAATTATTATTTACTAWTTTTTACTTAATATTTATTATTATATAGCTTATTTAAAAATGCATGTTTAAAAAATACCAAAAAAAAAATATTTTATTAACTTTATTACTATKAAAAAACCCCTGAATTTTTTTTGTAAATATTAAATATTTTTATCATTAATTAAATATTTATTATTAAWTAAATATCTATTATTTCTATCTMWATCGTATGATATAATAATAATMATWATTAYTATTACATTATATACTTAGTTTKAATTTTCTATAATAATTTATTTATTATAATATTAATTAAAAATTAAAAGTTTGCACAGTTTAATAATAGTCACGATATTTAAAAATTATATATATTTTTWAAAAAATTTAATATTTGTTTCAKTTGCTATTTATTTACGATAATATTGTTRAGTTYATCATTGGGTACAAAAATATTTACATACAGTTACTGATAGAAAAATAATAGTAATATTTAATTATATATATATATTTATAATAAATGCAACAATAATAAAGGTAAGTGTAATATTTTTAAAAAAAATAAAATAATTTTGAAAAAATAATATTTATTGATTTATAATTTGTTTTTTTATTAATTATTAAGAGTTCATCACAATCTAAATGATTATAAATTTAGCATATTATCTAAAATTATAGTCGAAATTATTGTAAATGATTTGAATTGCAGGTAAATTTTTTTTTTAATATTAATATTACAAAAAATTTTATTTATTATATTTTTTAAAATAAAATATTAATAATTATTTTTTTATATACATATATATATATATAGTTTAAATTTTATACCAATTGATAAAGTTATATTATAAATATTAATTTCWWWATARATTTATTATATTATCCGTATTTTTTTGYATAYTATTAGAGCAYAATTTTAAAAAATTAAATAATCAATAAATAAATAAATAAAGCATTCAATATTTYATTAAAAWWTTTTATTAAWATTAWTRTAACTAATATAAAATACAAAACAGTTTAAAAAAAAAAAATTACAGTAAATTATTTTATTTATTCAATAATTGTATTGTTAATAAACAATTACCTGTATATTATAAATATAATATATATAATAAATTTTCTAAACTTAAATAAAAATATATATAATTATTATTATTGTTTATCAAATAATTACACAAATAATATTAAATTATTATTATTTATATATTTTTTTTATATATTAATTCATATTACATAATTTAAAATAACTACTTATTTTCATAATATATATATATATATATATATATTATGAAACTAAGTAGTTATTATAAATTATTTAGTATGAATTAATTATAAACTCAATTAATTACTTAAAATTACAGTAAAATATAATTTTTTTTTCGAAAATAAAATGTTTTATTTAAAATTTCCAACATTACAAAATATTAGATTTTTAATTTTWYAATWACAATGTTTTTAAATTATAATAATTAATWTATACATAAATATATATTCATATACAGTATAACAAATAAATAATATTTATAAACATTATTTTTATTTTTATAAAAATAAAATATATCAAATTAACAATTAAGTAAAACATAATAATAATAATCAACATAAATATTGTTTTTATTTTTAAAAAATAAAACAAAGCCAAAATAAACAAAACAAAAAAATTTTTACTTATTATTATTATAAATATTTATAGCAATAACATTATAATTAAGCCAACGATTACAATTATATATAACTATATATATATATATATATATATAGTTTACAAACAATACTAGAAATCGATTTATTATTTATATATTATTATTATTATAAATATTTATAAAAAAAAATATTGATTTCTGAGTGGATTTTTTTTCATTTGTTTAAATACCTATTAAATTAAGAAAAAAATATGTTTAAAAAACCGTCTGTTTGTTTTTTAAATATATAATTTATATATTTAAATATATAAATATATAATTTATAAATATATTGATGCAAATACTACTACTACTACTACTTACTACTTACTACTACTACTACTTACTACTACTACTACTATATACTAAATACTACTACTACTAACTACTACTACTATATATATATAACTACTACTACTACTACTACTACTACTACTACTACTACTATACTATACAATATTGGTCTTACTTTGGATCAAATTGTTTGCGACAATACTGGCTATCTTTGTATAAATTTATTATAAACTCCCAACAACTATGTATACATTATAATTAGAAAAYAAMAAAAAWTTATGTTTTATTTCAAATTTAAACATTAGCTAAATATTAGATTAAAATTTTTCATGACTTTTAATAACTTTTTTTTAATTTTGATATGCAATGTTTAGTTTTGTTTAAATTTTTCATATTATTTATTAATAAATTTAATAAAACTTACTATATATATATATATATAAAACTAAATTATTATTTATAATATTAAAACATAATTATAATTAGAAAATAACAAAAATAATAAATTTAAACATAAAATATTAGATTTAATAAACATTATTTTATTATAATAATAAAATTTATAAATAAATATATATATATAAGTTTATATATATATAACAAATAAATAATTTAATAAACATTATTATTATTATTATTATTATTTTAACGTTGTGGCTCTACATCATCATCTAGATAAGGCTTACTTTCAATTGTGCTTGATACTATTTTGTTATATTTATAAAAAAATAAATAAAATATATCAAATTAACAATAAAGTCAAACATAATAATAATAATAATAAWATAAATATTGTTTTTTTTAAATAAATTAAATAAACAAAAYAAAATCTATTTTCAAAACAAAAAAACTTACGAAAAGCAATAATAAAGCCAACGATTACTTCAAACAATACTAGAAATCGATTCATTATTTTATTATTATTATTATTATTTAAATTTATAAAAAATATTGATTTTTGTGTGAATTTTGTTTTATTTTTTAATACCTATTAAATTATAAAAAATATTGTTTAAAAAACCGTCTGTTTTTTTAAATATAATTATTGACGAAAATTATTTTTTTATATTAAATTTTTAAGTTTTAATTGCAAAATTATATATTATATAATTTTTTTTGTTGACTAAATTGATATTTGATAAAAAATCATAAAAATAATATCAATAATATTTGTTTGAATTATGTATTTTTATATTTGACCAGCATCGTTTTTAAGTACTTAAATATTTACTGGTGGAAAAAAATTGTATTTATTGTTTTTTTTTTGTTAATAATAAATATTATTTAAAAATTTCTAGAAAAAAATCATATACTTGTATAGATAAAGTAATTTTTWAAAAATAATATAAAGTATATAAAATTTTCAAAAAATAGTAATTTATTTATTTTATTTTTTTTGATTGTATATTATTAATAAATAGATAACATTACATAAAATAATAATAATAATATTAATAAACATATATTAATTTCTAATAACTACGTTTCCCTCTACGACCTCCTCCTGCCTCCCTTCCAGGCCCTCCATTACCACCCGGTCCACCGTATGCATTGCCACCCTGTCCACCATGACTACCTGAACCTGCATAAGCATCGCCACCGTTACCACCATTTCCTCCCTTATAGTTTTTAGGACAACAACCTAGCTTTCCTGGATGACCATGTATTGGTGGTGGTGGTGGTGGTGGTTGAGGATAGACATGTTGATAGTGAGGGTAGCTTATTAGTTGTCTCACTAATTAAAAATTAATAATTTTTTATATAAAATTTATTTATTTAATTTTTTAAAATAAAAATAATATCATATTTAAATATATTTAATAAACTTACTTATAATACAACCGCAAACCTGTTGTAATGTTAGACAATAATAATAAATAGTTATCAATATTACTAATAAAAATATGCTTAATGATTTATGATGATGATAATTGATTGACATAATTATTGTATATTGATTAAAAATAAACTTAATTTAATAGTCTAATAGTTTAATAGTTTTAAAAAAAGTAGTTTTATTATTAATGTAATAATAAATTATTTAATCACATAATAGTTTAATAAATTATGTCCAACATATATATATATATATATTTATAATAAAAATTAACCAGGATCTAAATTTATTTAATCAGTTTAATTAATTAGTAAATTATTATTAATAATAAAATATTACAATATTTGTTTCACATTAAACAAAATTATCGAGAATTTTATAAATTATATATTTATTTATTTATTTTTTTACTAATTGAAAAATTAACAAAAATAATATTACATTTAAATTTTGTAATAACTTTATAATTACAATATATTAAACACTAACAAGTAATTATAAAGTACACACAATGTACTCTAGTATTACTATATTATACAAAATGTATTAATATATTATATTATCGGAAATAATTGTTTATGTATTTAATAATATTATTTAGAAAAAAAAATTTGATAAAAATAATTAATTAATTAATTAATTGGAAAATATTTTCTTTTTGATTATTTAATAATAAACAATAAAAAAAATATTAATAATATATAGATATACAGTATATATAATTACAAATATAATTATGATTTTAGACGCAATGATAATGTATTTATATTATTATTATTATTATTTTTGTTTTGAGTATGTTTAAATTGTTAATTAATTAATTATAATATATTTTTAAAAAATAATAATAATAATTAACTAATCAATTAATAATTAATTAATTATTTTTTATGGACCGCAACAATTTGTACATTTGTCGTCACATTTTTTACTATTACTAGTATCCAGGTGCTTGTTAACCGGGTAGACATAACTGTTCAAACGTGATGATAATGATGCTGATGATCCTGATCTATCATTATTTTGGGTCAATGCTTGTTTACCATTGATAGGCAAACTGCTACTACCACTGCTACTACTGTCCGATTGATGATGATATCCTTGTCCTACTCTACCATCACCACTACCACTACTAATACTACTACTACCACTATCTGTGTTAAACTGTTTACTATTATATGTTTGTTGTTGCTGTTGTCCAATGGCATTACCACCAGCACCACCACTACCACCACTACCGCCACCAGGTTTTTGTGGTCCACTATAGACAATAATGTCTTCCCGTTTTTTACGGTTTTCACCGCTAGTTTGTTGACCACTACCACTGTTGTTGTTGTTGTTATGTCCACTACTTTTATGACTTTGTTGTTCCTCTTTATTGTTGTTGTTGTTGTTGTAATCGATTGATGACGACTGTCCTATTGACGATGACTTTCCCATTGCTAACTGTCCTGTAGTAGACTGTTGTCCAGTAAAAGTTGCTCCATTTGATCCACCAATTGCTTGACCACCGTTAGTTTGCGATGATGATGATGATGATGATGGACAGGGAACCTGTACGACATAACCTCTGAACCCACCACCACCACCGACACCATTACCAACTCCATTATTATTAGCTAACTTTCCGCCCAATTGATTATTATTGTTTTCGCCATTCAATTGTTGGCCCGATATATACAATTGATTTGAATCGCTGCCCGTATAGTAACCTTTTTTATTCATACCACCGGTTCTCCTATTGACCTCCAACTGTCCACTAGATTGACTTTCTATTGCATTGACACCACCGCTATTGGCTGTTATAGTCGTGTTTATAGCGAAACAACCGCATACATAGCCATTTTTGCCGTTTCCCTGACCACCGAAACCGCCGCCGCTACCATATTGTCCACCATTACCGCCATAACCATAGCCAGCCTGACCACCATTTCCACCGTAACCGTAACCAGACTGTCCACCATTACCACCCTGTCCTACTGATACGCCACCACCGCTGCCACCACCGCTGCCATCACCTGTTCCTCCAGCTGTTCCTGATTTACCACCCGATCCGTAACCAGAACTCCAACTTCCTCCTCCTCCTACTCCAGGTCTTCCTCCGAAACTCATAGAACCTCCACTTCCACTACCACTTCCACTACCACTTCCACTACCACTTCCACCACCACTTCCACCACCACTTCCACTTCCACTGCCACCACCAATACTACCATCACTTCCATGGCCACCACCTCCATGGCCACCTCCATGGCCACCACCAATACTAAAACCACCTCCACTTCCACCACCAATACTTCCGCCACCAGTTCCTCCACGATTGATACCGCTTCCAATAGCCGCTCCCATACCAGTGCCGACTGCGGTTCCAATTCCAGCTGCAATACCGGTGCCAATATTGCCTTTCAGACCACCCGATCTCGAGCCGCCGCCGCCGCCACTACCGCCACCACCGCTAATAACAAAACCCTTTCCTCCTCTTCCTCCTAGTCCATGCGTCGCCACACCAGTTCCTCTAGTACTTCCAATACCTTTACCACCTCTACCACTGTTTCCAAAATTAGTTGATACCGATCCTCCAGCTCCTCCAGTACTTCCAATACCTTTACCACCTCTACCACTGCTTCCAAAATTAGATGATACCGATCCTCCACGTCCTCCAGCACTTCCAATACCTTTACCACCTCTACCGCTGTTTCCAAAATTTGTTGATACCGTTCCTCCAGCAGTTGCAATACCTTTACCACCACTACTACCACTTGATCCTTCTTTAATTAGATATCCATTATATCCATTATTTCCTACACCACTACTACCACCACCACTACTACTACTACCAGTTCCACTACTGCCTTGACGTCCATATCCTCCTCTCTGCCATCCGCGACTGCTACCACTGCTCGAACTACTACTACCACCACCACTACTACTAATACTACCACTACTACCTCTACTACCACCACCTCCGCGATTGATACCGATTATTGCAGATCCTCTGTGTCCAGAGATACCGGTGCCGCCGCCGCTATAGCGACCACCGCTTGTCACATAATCTCCTTTATTAATTAGCGGCAAATTTGTTGTATAGCTATTAGTTGCTATGCCTTTTCCTCCTCTGGGTCTTTGAGTAACAATTAGTCCACCAGTTGTTCCACGATTACCATTACCACCGCCTCTGCCGCCTCTGCCGCCGCCGCCTCTCGAGTTACCATTTCTTCCGCTTCTCTTCGTGTTTCTTTGTCCTATAGATGATGAGCCCTTCGGGGTAGTCCTACTACTGCCAGTTACCTGTCCTCTTCCACGAGTCCTACCGCCGCCACTACCACCAGTTCCTCTACGGGTAGTTCGACTCCTACCCGTTCCTCTTCCTCCTCCTCCTCTTCCACCACCACTAGTAGATCTAGGAGTAGTTAGTATACCAGTGCCGCCACCAATCGATGGTGTCGTTCCCGATTCGACACCCGATCTGCGAGCAGTAGTAGTTCTTCGTCCGCCACCACTTGATCGACGAGTAGTACGACTACCAGTTCCTCCTCTACCAGATCTGCCACCACTTGACCGACGAGTAGTTCGACTGCCACCAGTTCCTGTTCCTCTTCCACCACCACCAGTAGATCTAGGAGTAGTTAGTATACCAGTGCCGCCACCAATCGATGGGGTCGTTATAATTGATGGCAATCCTACACCCGATCTACGAGTAGTTCTTCGTCCGTCACCTCTACCACCACTTGACCGACGAGTAGTACGACTGCCACCAGTTCCTACTCTACCAGATCTGCCACCACTTGACCGACGAGTAGTTCGACTACCAGCTCCTGTTCCTCCACCACCACCTGGTCTGCCACCTATCGATGGTATCGATACCCGAGGTGTCGATCTATTAGCTGGTAATCCTACACCCGATCTGCGTGTAGTAGTCCTTCGATCGCCGCCTCCACCACTAGTTGATCGACGAGTAGTTCGACTACCAGTTCTTCCACCATTTGATCTACGAGTTGTACGACTACCACCACTATCAGGTCTACCGCCACTAGATCTAGGAGTAGACCGAACACCAGTTCCTCCAACACCACCACCACTACCAGTTCTGCCACCAATCGATGGTATCGATACACGAGGTGTCGATCTAATTGCTGGCATTCCTACTCCGGATCTGCGAGTAGTTCTTCCTCCTCCTCTTCCACCACCACTACCACTACCACCAAATCTACGAGTTGTCCGAAAACCACTTCCACCTGATTTTCTAGTAGTTAGTACACCACCACCACTAGATGATCCTCCTCTACCACTTCCAGCACCTCCTCTTGGTCTTCTAGTGGTAAGTGATCTAGTATTTCCAGTTTTTGTAGTAACACCACTTCCTCTACCAGACTGTCGTCCTCCTCGTCCGCTGCCAATACTTCCCAATCCATTTTTGATACCACTATTTGATTGACCACCAGTTTTAATGCCTCCTATTGTTCCTCCACCAGAGCCACCAGATTTAGTTGAACCACCAGTTATTCCGCTACCGATACTCGTCTTGACGCCATTGATACCATTTTTAATACTACTACCGATACCACTACTACTACTACTACCACTACCACCAGTGATACCAGTTTTGGTTGTGCCGCTGTTTTTCACACCAATCTGACCACTAATTTTGTTTCTACCCGTACCCGATGTACTACCAGAATTGCCTTTAATGCTACCTCCAAATGATCCCTTTATGCCGGCACCTGAACTACCAGTGCTCGTCGACTTGCCACCACGACTATTACGGCTACTACTACTACCCTTACTACCACCCAAACCAGTTGACTTAATCCCGTTACCAATTGAACCGCCCGATGCACTACCCTTGATGTTTGATATACCAGTTCCGATTTTATTGGTTATGCCATTGCTGCTGCTACTGCTGCCGGTGCTACCACCCGACCGTTTACTACTACTACCGGTACCCGATTTGCTTACACCACCACCAATACTGGTGCCACCACCTTTTTTGTTGTTGTTGGTTATACTACCAGCCGATTGTTTAATACGATTGCCAATTGATGATGAACTACTACTACCGCTACTTTTAGTACCGGTGCTCGAACTACTGCCGCTTGATTTGCTACCGCTTTTGCCACCAAAACTTGATGATAATTTGCTACCACTAGAACTGGTAGCCCCACTACCACCTCTTCCTCCTCTGTTGTTTGACATACCGGTACCCACTTTGCCATTAGTAGTGCCGCTACCACTGGATCTCTTACTACTACTACTACCCGAGCCTATCATTGATGAACTACTGGTAGATTTACCGTTTTTATTTGAACTACTGGTGCCAATTTTGTTTGATAATCCACCCAATGATTGCTTAGTACCGCCACTACTACTACTGCTACCACTTTTGCCTCCAGAAGTCTTGCCACTTATGCTACCACTTATTGATCCGCCTTTTGATGAACCACTTCTTCCGCCACTTGTTTGTCTACTATTGCCCGACGACGATGACGATGATGAACGTCTACTACTACTACTTCCAGACATACCAGTGCCGCCAATTTTGCCACCACTACTACTACTACTGCTACCACTTTTGCCTCCAGAAGTCTTGCCACTTATGCTACCACTTATTGATCCGCCTTTTGATGAACCACTTCGTCCGCCACTTGTTTGTCTACTATTGCCCGACGATGACGAGTGTCTATTACTACTACTACTGCCAGACATACCAGTGCTGCCAATTTTGCCACCACTACTACTACTACTGCTACCACTTTGACGTTTACTACCCGAACCTTTTGACGACGATATGCTTTTTGACGAACCACTTGTTTTTGTTGCACCGGCGCCGCCACCTCTTGACTGTCCTCCACTACTGCCGCCGCCACCACCGCCGCGAGATTTACCGATAGACGACGATCCACCACCCGATCGACTACTACTGCCACCGCTGCCGCCAACGGAACGGCCAGAAGATCCGGATTTTTGAACTCCACTTTTGGCTACACCTCCTCCTCCACCTCCGCCTCCTCTACTTTTTGAAGCACTACCACCAGTTCCTCTACTGGTTCCGCCTCCTCCTCCTCCTCGAGGTTTAGCAGCTGTACCACCACCGGCACCACCATTATTAGGAGGACAGTTCAATACACCATTATCCTCTTTTTTTTAAAAAAAAATTGATAAATAAAATTAACATGTTAATTTTTTAAACAAAAAATCAATTAATAATCTCTATGCTAATTTATTAATACTATATATGCTAATTATAAATATTAGTATTAATAATTTATACTGTATCTATTTTTAAAAATTTCAAAATGAGTAATTAATTGCATAATTTTTTTTTGTAAACTTAAGTTTATAAATTATTATTATGATTAAATATTGTTAAATATTATTATTATTATTATTATTATTATTACAAAAAAATACATACTTTTTACTGCATAAATATTATTTATAAATAATATAATTAAACTAATTAGCAAAATAAATGACAAGCATCTCATAATATTGTGATGCAATTAAAAAATTTTTTTTATTAATTAATTAATTATTTTGCAAACAAATTTTAGTTAAAATAACACAAATTTTAGAGTTTTTAATCAATTAATTAATTTTATTTTTATAGACTATTCTGAATAATAATAATAATAATAATATAAATACTAAACAAATAATTTATATAATCTAATATTAATGTATAAAAAATTTTTATATATATATTATTGAACTGATCTAATACATGTGACAGTGATTTTTTTAAAGCGCATAATACTGTAATATATACAGTATGTTTCAACAATATATAAAAATTTATATATATATATTAAACAAATTTAATTTACATATATATATTGTTTAATTGATTTGAACATAAAGTTTCATAACTTAACAATATAGTTGCAAACAAACATTATATATTTTCAATTGTGATATACATATAAATTTATTGAGTCTATGATATAATCAACAAAAAATTATTTATACTATAAAAGCCTATCAATGTTTAATCATCAGTCAATGAATCAATGTATCACTCAATCATTTTTTTTTATAAAAAATGTGTAAATAGTTTTTTATTTTATTTTATTTTTAAATATAAATAAATTAACTATCTGTTAATTGTTGAGAAATATTGATATATTAAAAAAATTATTTTTTTTTGTTAGTTATATAGATGTAGCTTAAACTATATAAAATATATAGTTTAATGATTACTCAATTGGATATACACTGTTCAAATATTTATAAATTATTTACATTTTTTTTAATAAAAATAATTATAGTTAAAGTGCATTTTTTTGTAATTTAGTTGTCTAGATAATAAATTTTTAAAAAAAATTAACAAGCATGAATTTTTTTAAAAAAAATCAATATATAATTTTAATATATATTATATATATATATACAGTATTATTAAAAATTAATAATAAAATAATATACTTTTACATTGTTTTTTTTAATCATATGATTTGATGATATGTTTTGTATGCATCGCAATGTAAATTGATTTATACATAAAATTTATTGTTGGAAAATGTTTTTTTTTTAAATATAAATCAATTCAATTTATAAATAATTAAATTTTATTAAATAATAATAATAATTGTGTTCTCCATATATTATATCATCTCAGATGATTTTAAATAAATATTAAACAATATTATTAGAAAAATTATTTTTAAAAATTTTAAAATCATTTTTTTTTAGAATTTATTAAATAGTTTAAAACACTATATAATTATTTAATATTTTATTATTAAAAATTTATTTAGCAATAAGTTTAGCTAATTATTTTTTTAGGTTTTTATTATATTAAAAAAAAATAAATATTTGCAAATAATTATTTAATTATATTTTTATTAATTTTTATTTTAAAAATAAGCTATTACATTAAGTCTAAATATTGATTTATATGATAATGATAATTTAAAAAAAAGAGTAAAATATATAATTTATTAATAATAATAAAGTATAAGGTATTATATATAATATAATATATATATATATATATTTTAAATGACATTGATATTAATATATATGATTAATATTATTTAAATTTGTTTTTTTAAAATTATAAACTATCAAATAATAATAATCAAAATAATTATCAAAATAATAATCATATATCTAACTATGATTTTATATAAATATACGTATAATTGTAATCAATATATATCATAATAATAATAATATTTAATAATTAAATAGCTGATACATTAAATGTAGATAAATATTGTATAATAATAATAATAATAATAAAGATAAAATTGAATATTATTACTATTTTTTTTATTTGTAAATTACTATTAAAACTATAGTCTATACTATCAAAAAAAATCTAATTTTTTTTTTTGATTAATTAGATACAATACTATTATATAAAATAATTTTTTTGTTTAAAACTTGTATTGTCATAATATTTGATAGTTAATTAAATTTTAAAAAAAATATCAAATAATATTATATTAATAGTAAACATCAAATTAATAATAAATCAATAGTTAAGTCAATTGGTTGGTCGGTTGGTTGGTCTGGTTTTTTAGGCCATTGTCTCGAAGACAAAAAATATGATAATATAGGCAATGAATAGTTTCGGGAAAATAATGGCCGACAACAGATCGATACGACGGCCCAGCGACAGGTCACGCCATTTCTGGGCATACAATCGTCGATTGCACGACGGGTTGACCGCCGGTAAACTGCCGCCGCCGCCAGTGGTCAGCTCTTTGGTGTCTTCATCGTCGGCGCCGTCAACTGTTTTGGTCTTCAAATCGTCGTTATCGGTGACCAACGGTTTCTTAATTAATAATAATTACAAAAACAATATAAAAATAATTGACTATTAAGTTACTAATAGCCGATATTATTGCCTACCAGTGCCACAGCGTCGCCTTCTTCGCAATTGTTAACCGATTTGCCATTACGTCCGCCGGCACCGTTAGCATCAGTGTTGGTACCGCCGCAGCCGCCGCCGCCGTGTTTCGGACAATGTTTATTTAGTTTACCGATGGCCAGTACTACGGCATACTCGACAAATGTGGCCAAAACAAACACCAGGCAAGTACTGGTCCAACAATCTTTGGCTGTATTGTAGTTGATATCGTTGGCCAGGGATCGGCTATTAATGTAGACAATGTGTACGTACAGGAGTAAGAGTGTGACCAACAAAAATTTGACGCGCGTAGACTTTTCAGGTTTGAACAGAAACGATACGAATGAGACAAACGTGAGGACAGCCGTCGGTAGAAACCATTGACAGCCGTATTTGCCGGCATTTCGGCCAAACAATAGGTCAGTCTTAATGCATGAATAGTTTCCTATTTAATGACAACAACAACAAGTGTTTAGGGTGTGTTAGGTTAGCAATTGATTTTAATTAATATAATGTGTTAAATACAGGTATAACCTATCACTCAGCCCATACCCTGTGGGCACCCACCACCACCACTTCCCAACTGTTTCCCTACCTGTAAGTGTACTGGAAGTACAGTTAGTTGTCTCGTAATTGTCCAGATATGACCAGTCGGGTGCTATTTTGTGTAAACTTTTCGACACTTGGATCGGCTGTTCAGACTTCCATACGTAGACGATATCGTTAGTGGTATAACCATCTGATTGTTGTTGAAAAAAAAAATTGAAATAATAATAATTATTATTATTAATAATTTTGTTTTTTAAAAAAATAATAATATATTTATAGTATATGTAAATTATATAAATTGTTTGTGTGTGTGTGTGTCACATAAACATGTTTATTATAAAAATTATTATTTTATTGCTACTAAAATATTTATTACTAATTTAAAATAATAATAATAATAATAATAATAGTAAATGTTTTGATAACTTATAATTTTGTCAATAATAATAAACAGGATATAAATTTATATACAGTATATATATATATATATAACTTGTATTTAAATTTTATTTTTTACTAATTTATTTATAAGTTTATTTTCCAAGGTTTTTGTCACAATATATTTTTTTTTTATTTTATATGTATAAACTATTACTTATAAATATTATTATTATTATTATTATATAAAATTAATTTTTTTTATTAATTTAGTTTATCTATGGTATAGTAGTATATTTTTTTTATCTAAAAATCACATATACAGTAGTTTTTTTTATTATATTTATTTTATTATTGACAATTGACTTAGTTTATCAAAAATAAACTATTTATGATTTTTTAATATTCAAATTAAAAACTATATGTAAATATTTACAAAAAAAATATGGAAAACTCATATGACAAATATGATAATATTTGAAATTGAATTGATAAAATAAAAAAAATAATTGAAAAACATGTTTTCAAATTAATGATTTTGATTTATTTATTTTTTTTTTGTTTTTTGTTGTTGAGTTGAGTATAATAACTATTATTATTGTCAATAAAATTTATTATGTATTTAAAAAAAAACTAAAAAATATAGTAATAAAATATATTTGATAATAAACCTGTTAATACTACTACTACTAATAATAATATTGTAATATTAATTAAACTAATTAAAAATTATCAATATATATATATATATATATATATATATGTATAATAACTTAAATAATTATCAATTTTGATATACAATAAAACAAACTATATATTTATATAGTAGTTATTTATAGTTTAATTATTTTATTTTATTGTATATCTAAAATTGATAATTAAATTTAATTAAACTAATTGGGGTTTATTATATCATAACTATTTATTATTATTATTATTATTTACTTACAACTGGCCAATTGTATGGGACATTTTTGCTGATCAAACGGATAATGGCGTAAATCCATCGGACAGGTCAGTACGGATGTGATACGGGTGCTGAACAATACTTCACCCGATGGATAGATACGGATCAGTCGATTGGGTTTGAGATCGGTATTGATTTCAGTCGATCGGGCATTCGATATGAACGTATCGGGTGTCCACAAACGGTCACTGTCTTCCAGTGTCAGGAACGGTAGTTTACCATTGGTTCGGTCATCGTATTTGAGTCGTTGATCGGCCCATTGTTGCCGGAAAGTTAGCTGTACTTTCCATTCCTGATTTTCCGTACATATATGTTCAACAAGTCGGGTATAGATATTGATGGTAACAGTAACAGCTCCTTGGGTACCATTTTCCGATATGCCTACCGGTGCTATACGCTGATCGTATTTGCTCTTATCCAGCAATTGATCCAATAATTGTTTTTCCTGATCCCTGAGCTGAAGCAGATTTTGTCTACCGTTTGTTTGTTTGTTGAAAATCCCATTTAAATAAAAAAATACATAAATAATAAAATTGTTAGAAAAAAAGTGTCAGTTTTTTTTTGTTGATGTTTTTTTCTATTGACCGATATTTTTGTTGTTATAAAATATTTTAGTATTAAAATTCTCACATTATTATCACTAATCATATTTATTAGCGATAATATATATGAAAATTATCAACAACAAAAAAATAATATCTGTTTTATATATAATATAAATATTATATTTTGAAAAAAAATTATATATAAAAAAGTTTGATCCAAATTATTATTATGATTATTATTATTGATTGCTATTAACACACATAACTTGTGTGTGTTTGTATTGAATACTGTATATATTTTTTTACAGTTTTAACGATTACAGGCAGTTATAGATAGTAACAATGATTGTAAAAATATTTATTTATTTTTATTTATTTTTTTGGTAAATTTATTTAACTATTATTATTATTATTATTATTTTAGTCTGATATAAATTTTTCTAGGTCAAGTTTTATGTGGTGTTTAAACAAAAATATTATAGTATATAAACAGTTATTATTATACTATATGTTTGAATTATTGCATTATATATATATATATATAATATAATAATGTTTGAATAAATAAATAAATAAAAATAAAATCTAATGTTAAACTCTTTAAATAAAATAAAACAGATCTTAAATGATAAAAATATTGTATATATATAACTATTAGTATATATATATATATTTATATACTAATAGTTTATCACTTTAATCAAAAGTTATCATTCATTCAAATTTTATTTAATAAAAAATAATAATAATTTTATTAATAGAAAATTAAATCATTTTTTTGTTTGTTTTATCGTTTAGTTTACTAATAATAATAATAATAAAAAAGAAAATTACCAATTATTATCTAAATTACTATTTTTAAAAATTTTATTTTTAAAAATTGTCTTTTACGATACCAAAACTATTATAAATAAACAAAACTAAAAATATTATTAACTTAATAATTATTACAACACTAGTTTGATATTATTGGATACAAATTAGTTAAAATTAGTTTTATTTTTTTTTAGAAATTTTTGTGGTTTCATATTATTTATAAACTTTATAATAATAATAATACTGTAATATCTGATTGTCATAATTAGAAGTATTTTTAAATAAAATAAATAAATAAAATTAAAACTATATAAAAAATTGTTGTTATAAATAAACGTTTGTTTTTTGTTTTATAAAAAACTTAAAAATATATTATTTATTTTTGTTGTCATTTTTTTTATTGTTTTATTGTTTTTAACACTAATTTACAGGGAGTTTGGGGCAACACAGCCACCTTGATATTCATAATAAATATACTTAAAATAATAATAATAATAATGGTTTTAATAATAAGCATAACATATAAATATGTTAATATGTGAGAAAAAAAATAATTATACAATTATAATCACAACATTTGTCATTGTTTATAATAATAATAATAATAATACTTAAATATAAAAAAACTTATAATGAATTCAAGTGTTTATTCATTCAAAAATTTTTCTGTCATTTGAATATTTGTATTCATAATTAATGCTTTTATAATGTATTAAAGGTTATATAAATATATGTGTATATATATATATATATATATATATATATATATATTATATATATATATATATTAATATATGTATTTATACATTATTATTATTATTATTATTTAGTTAGTCTAACCTTTAGATAAGTTCATTATACTTTCAAATACTGTTTATAAGTTATATAAATCTAAATAATAAATAATATATATATTTAAAAGTCCAATGGTCTTGATTTTTTTTATAAATTTTAGTTATATTTATTTATTTTGTATAAAACATTTATCACTGCATATGATATATATATAAATAAAAAAAAAATAATTTTTTTTTATTTTAGCTAAACTTTTTTGATGTTGTTTTTTGGTGTTGTTGTTGTTGTTTTAAATTAAAAAAATTCCAATGATTTACAACACAATACAGTGTTTTTTTTAAATAAAATTTTTTATTTTATTTGGTGGGCTATTATTGTTATCAATTAATTTTACAATAAACTTTAAGGGGTCACCTGTACAATATATAATTTATATCTATATATATATATTGTAATAAATGTTTGTATCAGTATATTGCAAATATAATATATTGTTTTATAATTTTTTTATTAAAAAATTTGTTTTTTATATGTGAAATAATTTTTGTTGTTGTTTTTGTTTTTGTGAAATAATAAAAACATTTAATCTTATTTAGATTTTTTTGTGACAAAAAAATTTCTGTACTAAAAATATATTGCTAATTAAAAATTTAGTATTTTTTAAAAATGGTATTTTCTAACTTAATTAATTAATTAAATTTAATTAATTAATAATCAAAAAAATAAATTTTTTAACAGTTGAACAAAATTTAATTATCTAGATTATGACTTTATAATAACAAATAAAAACTATTTATAAGTTTTTATGTAATTTATTTTGTTTTATTTAATTAGTTAGTGGGATAATTGTATTATTATTATTATTATTACCATCATTATATTTTATTTTCTAAAAATATTTATACAAATAAATTGTATTATTATATATCATATAAATATATAATTACAACAAAAATATATAATAAAAAATAATGAAAAAATAAAACAATCATATCATATATATTGATATATATACAGTATATATATTGATATTTAAATATATAAAAATTATTATAATAGCAGTTACTATATCATTACAAGTGTATTATTGATAGATAAACAGTATACTAATATTATATATAAAATATATTGATATTATAAATGAGTTTTTCATTATATATAATTTTAATACTACTACTACTAATAATAATAATAATAGTCTTAAATTGGTCAATAAAATAAGCATTTAAACTTTTAAACCATAGTATAAAAGCTATAGTTATTATAGTGATAATAAACTTTATTTTTTTTTGTTTGTTTAATACAGTATTATAAACTACTGTATATCTTATATAATATATATATATATATAAGTTTATGGGCATTACATAATTGCGTGACTATTACTATAGTATTTGTTGTTGTTGTTGTTGTTGATAAAGCAATGCACTTATGTTGTATATATATACTGTATAAATATATAAATATATATTTTTATATTAGTAATAAAATCAATAGTTAAAATTGTATTTTATTTTAATTGAATATTTGTGTGTTGAAAAAAAATATAATAATATTTTCTTAGTTTGCAAACTATATTACATAATACAGGTATTTTATATTTAATAGACATATAATACCATAAATATACAGTATATATATGTGATGATATAATACAGTATTAAATTGCAATTTAATGTTTCAAATAATACATAATAATAATTGTCGCACAAAGTTATATATATATATATATCATATATATATATAATATATCTATGACTCACAAGTTAGGACTTTTTATGATACTAGTAGACAAAGAGTGTATTTCTCTAATTATTTATTATAAGGTATTTTTTCATGTGTGAACTTTATAAAATGACATCCCTGTGCCCCCCACCTCATATAGCCTACAGGGGTGTTTCATTACAACCAACTATACAATGTTGTATTGTCGTTGTTGTCAATGTATTTTAGTTTTTTTTTTTGAAACATAATATCACCACCAAATAAAAGTCATTGTATAGACAGTGTGTTTGACATCATTATTATCATTAAAATGCATTATCTATTGTAGAGTTAGGGTAGAGTTAGGGTAGGGTATGGTATGGTATGGATAGTATAGGATAGGATAGGATAGTTGTTAAGTTAGGTAACACACACATACATACATATACATAGGTTACATGCTAGATGATCTATGCATATATTAATAATAATTGTTTTTTAAAAAAAAATTTAKTAAGGGTAGATTTTTCAATAGTCTAATTTTATTTTTTTTAAATATTTAAATAATTTAAAAAAACAAACTTTTATGAGTTTATTGTATTGGACTCATAAAAAAAATAAATATAAAATTTTTAAAACATTTTTTTTTTGATTATTTAAATTGTTAGCAAATAATAATAATAACTTACCCGAAAACTGTTGCTGATAACAATAATATTAAAATAAAATATTTAAACATTTTGTTATTATTGTTGATTGAGTGGTCCAACAATTATACTACCTTAAAAAAATATATATATATAAAATAAATTAATTATTATAATAGATAGATAGATAGAAAAAAATATATTAATAGATTAAATGTTTAGTTAGTCATAATGTAAACACTGTATTGTAATATTATTACAGTAGGTTATTATTATTTTAGGTATAATAATAGATATTGATTAAATTTTTGTTATATATATATATATATTAATAATTAAATATTTATACAATACATCTATCATTTTATTTTTACAAATATAAGACACTATTTAAACATATTTTGTGTGTGTTTTTTTTTGGTGGTGTTATATGACTAATACTCTATGATAAACAAATTGCTTATCACATTATACACTATATATATATATATAATATATATATATTTACTGGTAATATAATGTACAATACAAGTGTTAATAATATTATTTATGAGTTAACCAACAAACAAACAAAAAAACTATTATAATAACAACTAGAATATTGATTTGACAGTTAAAATGATTGAAAATAAAAATAAATTTAACAAACATATAGTAATTAAAATTATAATAAATTATTAGTTAGTTAATTAAATACATGGTTTTTGTTATCTATAATATTATTATCATCAAAAAATAAAATTATTATAATTAGTAATAATTAATTAAGTAATTTACAAAAAATATTTGTTTTACATACTTATCAAAAATAATAAAGTTGTCGCCAAACTGATAGATAAGATACCAGCAAAAAAAAATTGTGTGTATTTTTTTTGGTTGGTTGACAAACACAAGATTTTTTGAAAAATAATTTAATACACAATTATATATATATATATACTGTATATATATATGATATTTAACAAAATGTTTTTAAATAATAATATACAGGTAGTAGTAGTAGTTGTAGTGCAATAATATAATGAAATTTGAAACAACAAACTATGATTTTATTTCACAGTTTTTTTTATCAACAAAATAAAATAGATATTTATTTCTATTATATATATATATATTATAGAGAAATATAAGCGTTTATTTTTTTGATGATGTTTTACAAAAATAAGTTATGTTTTTTAGTTATGTCACATACAAATTGAATTTCAATATATGATAGACTTGAATAAATTTGATTAAATAAATATGATATATTATTAATTTTTTTTAATATAAAAATTATTGAAATGAGACGATCAACTAATAAAAAATAAATATGATATTAACAATTTGTTTTATTATATATATCAATAGATATAATGAAAATAAAATAGTTGATAAAAATTGATGATCTATTCAATAATATATATTTTTATTATTAATTTTTTGTTGTTTAAGTAAAATATCTACTGATATCTTTCAAACTATTATATAATAATAAGAAACTTTTTCAAACTTTAAAATAAACTTTTATTGTTGTCAAATATATTTCACTTTTTTTCTCTCTCTCTCTCTCTCTCTCTTTGAAAACTTTTTTGAAGACTTGTTTGTCTCTCAAAAAAAAAAATCTATATATGTTTTGTTTGACTCAAATGAGTGAATGAATGAATGAATGACTGACTGACTGAGCTAACCAACAGTCAGTCTAATATTGGTTATATTAGGCATGTGTTGGGCATTCAATTTTTTTTTTTTTTGAAGGGAAAGGGAGGTACCGAAGCAAAAGCCCAGATGAGTGAGTGCTCTCTGTGGTGTCAGTCCTGTATATAAGTTGCTGTTTAAGTGTATATTATTTTTAATGACAGACACAAAAAAACTACAGTATATACTGTACTGTAGTATTATATAGTAGTTTATTCACTGAGAAAATTATTGAATGTATAAAAAAAAGTTATATAATAAAAGAGTGAGAGAGAAGTCAAACTTGTTTAGCAATTGTTTGAATTACTTACTATATTCAGTATATGATAGCACCGGCAGATAAAATTATGGTAGTACTTGGTGTGGGACAGTATATATATATATATATATATATATATATATATATATATACTCAGTATTGTATTTAATAATATGATTTAATACAGAAATAGTTAGTTGTATTGTATTGTGTGTATGATTTAAACGTATGGAAGGATATATGGATTTATGAGCTCAGAGAGAGARAGARAGAGAGAGAGAGAGAGAGAGAGAGAGAGAGAGAGAGAGAGAGAGAGAGAGAGAGAGAGAGAGAGAGAGAGAGAGAGAGAGAGAGAGAGTCCCAGTCCCTGAAAAATATATATATAAAAATTATATAATAATTTATTCACATAAACTTTATATATAAATATAGTAGCAAATTATTACAACAATTATTATTATTATTATTATATAATAATAACAATAAAAAAAATTAAAATAATTTAGCTGTCAGTTCTCTCAACAATTATATATATATATTTAGCTATATATTTGGATAATTATTCAAAATATATTGTATAAATAAGATGAGAGTATTCATGTATTTTAAATATATATATATATAAAAAAATTGTAGCTATTATTGTAATAATATTTGTATTTTAATTGTATTTTTTCGCACATAAAATACTTTTTTAAAAAACATTATATGTAAGAAAAACATGTGTTTGCAGTTTGTATTGTATATTAGATATGATATTTAAAAATAAATAAAATATTTAACAAAAAAAACACAATATGTGTTTACACATTGTGTTTTACACTATTATAATTTGATTAATTGAATATAAGTCTCTAATAATAATAAAAATATTGATTTATACTAATAATATTTTTAATGATTATGTTTTAAATAATACTTAAAAATAATTTAATTTTTTACTGAATTATTTTTTGTATCTAAAAAAATTGATGATTTATTAGTAAAGTTTGCAAATTTTTTTTATAATAATATTAAAATCTAATATGTGATGACACATGTGTATTGATATTTTTTTCCAAAAAATATATCTAATGTTTCTAATATATGTATGCACAAAAAAAAATTTATTTATTTTTTTTGTAAATATTAAATGACAACTAAAATACATTATACTTATATATTTATTAGTGATGTTTGTGTGTCGGTGTCTGGACTTTTGGATTTTTGAAAAGATATATTGATATTATGTTTTTCAAGAGTCCCACAAAATAACATGACTTCAAAACTAAGTGATGTTTCGCACTCACAAACATCTCTCTCTCTCTCTCTCTCTCTCTCTCTCTCTCTCTCTCTTTCTCTCTGCAAAACATTTTAAATGGTAAACAAAACATTTGAGAGACAAAATTCCTCAAAAACTATGTATAAGTTGTTAAGTAGACCTAAAAGTTTCTAAACTATTTAAACTTATATATACAGTATATATATATACTGTAAATAAGATATATGTAAGAAATTTTTTTTTGTGAAAATGAGTGAAAAGTTAGTGAGTGAGTGAAAGAGAGAGAGAGAGAGAGAGAGAGAGAGAGAGAGTAAAAGTTGATGTATGGATAACATTAATCATTTGTCACATCACTTATTAGAAAAATACAATAATAAATATTTATTTTTGAAAAAAAAGTTATTTTTCTGTATATTTAAAAGTCTGGAAATAAATGTTAATATTAGATATATTTTTTTTTGTTTATACAAGAAATCTTAATTTTATATATATATATACGCATATATATTGATATATAGATTATACTATTATTACAACTCTCTCTCTCTCTCTCTCTCTTTCTTTCTCTGAAAATGATTGCATGTCTGCCCTTCAGACTAAATATCAGATGTGTTTATCGCGTTTTGCGAAAAAATCATTTTATTTTTAAAACACAAAAATGTGGTTTAAAATTGAAAATCAATTATCTGTGTGTTGTTGAGAGTCTAATACAAAAATTTGATGTTTAGTATTAATGTTAGTATTATATTGTATTTACAATATATATAATACTGTAGTAGAGTTCAATAGTATAGGGTATTAAAATAATAATGTAATTATTATTATTTTTATTTTTCAAGTGTTATATTGTTTAATAATTATTTAATATTTATATATTTTAGATAATAAAGCATAACTATTATCATCATATAATGTTTGATACAAAAGTTTTATTTTGTATATAGATATTTGTAGTAAAATATGATATTTAATAAATAGTAGTAAATTATATGATATTTAATAAATAGTTAATAATAATAATAATAATAATAATAATAATAATAATAATAATAATAATATTTAAAAAAAATAAAAAGAAAATTAAATTATTATGTTTAAATAAAACAAAAACAAAATAATAATAATAGCATAGATAAAACATCTATAACCTTGATAATATTTTTTCTTTAAAGTTACAATATATATTAAAACAAAAATTGATTGATTATATAATAATTATTATTAAGCATGTTTAACCAAGTTATTGTTGGCAGTGATGAATATTATTTTAATAATTAATTTGTTTTAATAGAAATTTACAAAAAAAATAAATAACATGCAATATTTTTAATAAAATATTTTAGAAATAAATAATAATTGTTTAATTAATAATTGACAATTTATGATAAATATTTTATTATGTTAAAATTATTTTTGTATATGTACTACACATTTATGTATATTAAAACATTATTATATTAATAATCACTGACTATAATTTTTTTCATACATAAAAAATTTAGTTAAAAAATTATTAAAATATTTTTGCTAGAGTAATAATTTTTATCAAAAAATAATAATAATAAATAATAATAATAATTGGTTATAACATAAAGTAATAAAAAATAAAGTTAAAATTATATATTACTGGCATTTTTTTGCATACAAACTTATTTTTTCAATAAAATACCAAGGGTACAATTTATTATTATATAAAAAATTATATAAAACTTTTCAATAGTATTTTGAAATATAAAATTTTTCAAAAAAAATGACAATTTTGACATGATAATTATACAGTATCATTTATTTTATAAATTATATTTATTATTTATACTGTATAATATAATATATACATATACATATAGTTTTAAAAAAGTACCTGTATTATAAATTTTTTTATTTAATAACTGTTTTATCAATTGCCAATAGATGGCAATGTATTACTAGTTATTTGTTACAGTTTTTAAAAAAATATTATTGAATTTATTTCTATAGCAATATAATCTACTGTATAATTTAATTATTAAATATTATAATTTTAAAATAAATTAACCATGAAAACTACTATTTAAAAAAACAATAAATAATTAATAAATTTTTTATTATTATCAAAATAATAATTTATAATAATATTTAAATTGTTTGATGACATTTATATAATAATAATAAAAAATAAAACATTTGGTTGCTATGATAATTTTGTTTTGATTAATTAGAAACAATACAATATATATATATATAATATATACAAATAGAGTATATGATAATAATTAGAAAATTGATAAATATAATTAAAATTATTATTTTTATTAATTAAATTAAAATTAATTAATTTAAAAATTAATTTTTTTAGCAATAATTAACGAAAATAAAAATAAGCAAGCTAATAATTTACAGTTAATACTGTATAATAATGAGTATTGAATTAGATAACAATAATGATGCAATGATGATGATGGGGACCAACAATGATGATCATCACCAATATGTTGGAAATAATGATAAATCGTAAGATAGTTGTATAAAAAATTACTGGAAATATTCAATAAAAATAATAATAATTATTATTATTTAAAAAAAACTATTTTTTACCAAAAAAAACTAATAATAATAAAATACAGATCAATGACCTCCGCGTCGACAATCAACGCACTGACCACTAAATCATTGTCTAATGAAACAATCAATTCATCATTTTCGACAACAATGGCCTCAAACAAATGGCTTCTGGCCAATAGTGACCCGTCGGCCAACTTGTATACCATACCCGGTTGTATAGCTCTGGCCGATATGATGGGCGACGGTGACTATAAGCTATTGATTGCCGATTTAGGTTTTAGCGGTCTTAACGGCGGTGGTGGTGGCGGCAGCGGTAAACCTAAGCTCCGGGTCTATCGGGGAACAACATTGCACACCGAAAGTACACTCGTAGACATACCATCCGGTATTGCCGTATTCTATACTGAAGGCCAGGATCCACAATCACCGGCCATTGCCGTAGCTTCCGGTTCCTATCTATATGTCTATAAAAATATGAAACCTTTCTACAAGTTTTGTTTGCCCACCCATGAGGTAAACCCAACCGAAATGGATGCCTGGCTTCAGGCTAAAGACCAGAAGATTGACGCCCAGACACTCAAAGATCTACTAAACAATATACGTCTGGAAACTGGCGATACAGGTCTGACATCCCGTTCTCAGGCATTGATTTCGATGACCACTGACGACTCTGAACAGATGGACCAGTTTGTCCAACTATACAGAGATCAGATGATTCATTTGAAAAGGCAAACAGTAATCACTTGTTTGTCGACAATCAAGAAGACAGTTAACGACGAAAATGCGGTCAGTTGTCTGATAATTGGTACCGAAAATCGGGATATCTATATACTAGAGCCGGACGCGTTCACCATTTTGGTGTCGGTATGTACGTGTGTTTTTGTGTGGGTTGGATCTAATTGATTGATTGGTTTATGTTTGGTAGGCAACTCTACCGAGTGCACCGGTATTTATTGAATCCAATGGCCTGTTTGATGTGGAATTTCGGCTACTGGTGTCCTGTCGTGATGCACACATCTATACCATAAAACGTGGCTACAAATCTGGCCGACTGTGTGTCCAACTAAGCTCACAGCCGGTAGGTTTGGTCAAAATGAACAATAACATAGTGGTGGCCACTATGAACAAAACGTTAAGCACATTTACAACTAAAGGTTAGTTAGTTTTTCGGGGACTTGTATACTGGGGGAGGGATGTTAAGGAACTGATTTAACACCCCACCTCCCAGTATACCTAATAGGTAGGAACTAATAGGTAGTGTCTACTGTTTTTTCACTGATGATAGGCAACTGTTTGTGGAGCTGTGAACAGCCGGCAATGATTACGGCCATAGAGGCCATCGATGTCGAGCGCCAGAGTCTGCGGCTGATTGCCGTAGCACTTGACTGCAAACAAGTACACATCTATCAGGACCGACACAAAGTCGATATACTGGACACCGACGACACCATAGTGGCCATGAAATATGGCCGTTTCGGTCGCGAAGATAGTACACTGGTAATGGTTGGCCGTGCAGGCAGTTTGACCATTAAAATCTTGAAACGTACGGCCAAGTTTACGTTCAAAGAGTTTATTGAGGCACCTGGTGGTGGTGGCCAGGGAGGTGGCTATAATTCCAAGCTTAGTATACCAAAAAAAACTAAACTGTTTGTCGATCAAACAATGAGGGAAAGGGAACAGTCTATTGGTAAGTACTGGTGCTGTACTGTACTAACCATTAATTTTAAACACTGATCCTCTGTTTATTTTTGTTTGTCTTTATATTTTTTTGTGGATAATACTTTATAATACCAGCCCCCCCCCCCCCAATTAATGTGGTGTTTGTATTGAGGTATTTAGCAATAATAATGACAGCAAACAAAAAAATGTTAATAAAATATTTTGTTTATTTCACTAACAAAAAAAACTGGTAGCTTATACTAGTGATAATATCAGTAATATACATATATATAAATTTATATATACATATATACGGGATTATATTTATGTAAATATTAATATTAATATATATATATATTTATAACTTATAACTTATAATATCTTTAAAAACTTTTTTGTTTGTTTGTAAATAAAATTTATTACTAATAATAGCTATTCACCGGACATTTCAACACGACTTATATCGGCTTAAGCTGATGGCCGCCCGTTCCTATGTGAAGGCCATCTCTACCAGTCTTAATCCTATGTCATCAAACGCTATCGATCCGCTTAAACTGTCGGCACAGGTGGGTGTACATAGCCTCCGGTGGGGTGTACTTGTATTGTACATATACAACACTGTGTGTATACAGTATATACCTTATTGTCACAAAAAACATACATTAATATTACTACAATACTAATGAAACAATATAACTATTATATTATTTTTTAAACAAAAAACTAACATTTTATGATTTAATTAACTTTAATTGATATATTATAATAATTGTAAGAAATTTTTGTTAGTTTAACACAATTATATAATACAGCAAAATAATGAACCAATATTATTATATCAATACCCTATTCCACTGTATATTATAATAACTTATAAATATTATAATATTTTTAATGTAATCTATTTATAAGGTTATTGTAATATACAGGGGGAGGTGTGTATTATCGGTTACATAATTTACATCAAATAATTATAATTATTTAAATATACTATTAATATTAAAAGCAAATATTTTATTTTTTTAAGGTTCACGGTTTGGGTCCCATATTTAGGCTAATACTTGAACTACAAAATACATCGGCAGACACGCCATCAATAAATTTATTAATGACTTTTCAATGCGATCTACGAATCTATTCATTAGACCGATCGGTAATTAGGGTACCATTTCTGGCTCCGGGCATAATATATCCGTTTGCCACTCGGGTCGAGTGTGTTAGCAAAATGAATATTTCCGATATTATTAAAGTATTTATACAACAATTTTTAGTATTATTTGTATAATCAGTTTTGTTTGTTTGTTTGTAGGTGTGTTTGTTTGTTGAATCTAATTATTTTATTTATTTATATATTTATATACAGGTGCTTGTGGTCAGGGATGACGAAATAGTGCCCTTAATAACAGCTGTGATTAATATGCCGGCCAGTGAGGCACCAATTGATTCATAATTTTAAAAAAAATTGTTATTTTAATTATAATTAGTTATAAATATGTAATTTTATTTATTTATTTATACTATAGTTGACAGCAAACAAAAAAAATTTAATGTAATTTATTACAAACTATTAGTTTATAGTTTGAAATAAATAAAGGAATAAATAAAATTAAAAAAAAAAATGATAAAATATTTTTCTAATTTAATAACAATTTTTCAATTATGACATTGAATTGATTTTATTTTCTATAAATATATGATAAAGATATAACAAATATTTTTTGATAATAGAAAATAAAGTAATTTTTTTTAAAAAATAATAATTATTAATGGTTTTTACTAATACTATTATATACTGTATATATATATATATATATATATATATATTTAAATGCACTGATGACTGATGACAATAATTTACAGCATTTTGTTGTTGTTGTTGTTATTATAAACATTATTTTCATTTGTAAATTATAACTAAATATTTGTCATAAAATTTTCATTTTATTGTTATAGTATTATTAATATTTGAATAATGACTTGTTTTTATTGTCGATTTTGATATTTAATTTTTTTTGAAAAAAATAGTTTTCAAACTACTATTTACTAATACATATTAATAACATATTATTGTGTAGACATTAGATAGTAATTTATAAAAAAATAATAATATTGAATGTAATATTATTATTAATGTGTTTAAAATATTATTTATAAAAAAAGTTAACATAAGTATTATAAAAAATTATTAAATTAATATATATTTATTTTATGTATAGCGTAATATTAAGTTTAAATGTTAGTTAATTGGCAACAAAAAAAACAAACAAACAATACATTTAATATATTAGATAATTTGTTTAATTATTATTATATATTTACACGATATAACAATTTTTTCATATTAATATTTTTTAATAAAAAAATAAATATAATGGAGCATGTACAATAATGTTAGAAATTTTCTATATAAATATACAGTATATTTAATTTATTACTTCAACTAAATACTAAATATAAAAAAAACTTTAAAATTATAATAACAGTTTAATCCTAACATTAAAAAATATTATCATTAATTGTTATTTTGAAAAACTATGAACTTTATTGAACAAGTAAGCCATTGTTTTTAATATTTAATAAAAATTAATTAATTGATTAATTAATAATTTATTTTCCAATAATTTCAAAGTCAATTAAGATATGTCGTACGGCATTCAAATCGGGTATCACTCGGCTTGAAATGGTTTCCGTCGGCAACAATTGCGGTCAACTTACCGAAAATAGACAGCTATTTGTTGATCCGAAAAGTAATAAATATAATACTGTATTATTTTAATTTAATTTTTTTTTGGTACACAAACTATTTTCAAAAAACAAACTAATATATAGTTTTTCCATACATTTTATCTCATAGATAATTATAATATTTTATATATCTCTCTCTATATATATATTAATATATAAATAGTATATTATAAATTTATTTTGATATTATACACACATATAATATAAATTATATAAATATAAATTAAAAATTAAATACTATATATATATATATATATATATATAATGTTAATTATAATTAATAAGAAAAATATATTTAACACATATAAACAAACATAAATAAATATCAAATATAACTTTATATATATATATATGATATATAATAGTTATCATCCAATATGGCAGCCATGTTTGATACCGTATCCATAATAATGTTTGAACTGTTCGGGTCCCCATCGGTTATAGTAAGCCCAGGGATATAAACCGCATCCATAATGCCATCCCTTGAAAAATAGTAGACTTTTGCCGTCAACTAGTGATGTGCCGATACAAACAACAACTACTACTATCATCACTACCAATGCCATCACTAAACCAAATATCTTAATCTAAAATATTTATAAATATATATAATTTTTTGTGGAAAAAAATACAAAACTATATAAAAAAACTTAAATATATATATATTTAAATAAATTTAAAATACTTGAACAGTTGCTCAAATTAAACAAATATTATAATTAATTAATTAATTATTAATATTATTGTTATTATTATTATTATTATTACCTTTAAGTTAAACATTTTTAATTTTGCTGCTAATATTTTTTGATCACTTTTTTGAACTAAACTACTAAATAAAAAATATTTTACATTTTCATTTGCATTTTCCCAAAAAAAATATTTAAAAAAGATTTTTTATTGTTTATATTTGTTTGTTTTTATATAATATTTTTTGAATTTATGTTTTTTTTAAGAAAATATTTTAGTTTATTTTTAGATAAATATTTTTGTTGCTATAATAATAATATTTTACAATATAGTATTTGTAAGTTAGTGTCGACAATACCTTTCACTGGTCAGTACCGCATGAAAACAAGTTTTTTTTTTAATTTAATATTTAATATTTTTACACATTTTATCACATAATATACACACACATAATGTAATTTATTAATAGGATATTTAATAGACTTATATAATAAGTATAGTATAATAGTATTATTATATAACTGTAAACAAATTTTTATGGTTAACAATTTATATGTAAATTTATATTAGTTGTAAATATTGTTTGTATTATCAGATTTCATTATATTATTTATATTGTACTATTATATTATAATAACAATATTTAATTTGTTAATCTAACTTTAATTAAAAAAAATATATATATAATTAATTTATTTATCTGTAAGTTTGTGTGACCATAAGTATATGTATTTATTAGACCATTAATACTTTTAAAAAAATTGTGTTTTTCTATAATTATTAAATATTAAATTGAATATAAAAATTTTTTATGTAATAAACATTATTATTATTATTATTATTATTTATATAACTCTTTCCGTATATTAATTTACAAATAATGTTTGTATGATATTTTGGGTCAATTTAGTTGTCACACATTTTTTGTTTGATAGATAAAGTACTTTAATGTTAATTTTTTTTTTGATTGTTAATTATGTATATTTGTCACCACAACAAAAATATATGTAAATTTTCCGCATGTAATTTAATTGACATTATTATTATTATTATTATTAAAATATTATATAAAATAAATACTGAATTAAAAATTGTTTCCTTAGATTAAATGAAAATTTTAATTTTGTTTTTTATTTTTACATTTACTTACAGTTTCCGTTTTTATAACTATTAATTGTGATTTTAGCGGTAAATAAATTATAGATTACTAAATTATTATTTGCATTATCAGATAAATTTAATTATTTTTTGTGTATATTAATTAATAAACACTACTTTTAAATTAATAAATTAACAAAAATCAATTAAAATCAATACTTATTTTTTTTAAATAAAAACATTTTACTTTATGTTAAAATAATATTTTGTAACATACATACACTCTGTAGTTTAAAAAAAAATTATATATTATTGAATATATATTAGTTATATATGTATTAGTTTATAAATTAGTTTTAACAAAAATTTTGATATTATATTAAACATATATAATTAAAAACAATTATTGGGGAACAAAAAATAATAATAATTAGTTATTGTAAAAATTCAAACCAACAATAAAATATGACAATAGATATGATGAGCTTTTCAATTAATAATCGTCCATAAAATAGGATCAACGCAATGATTAGTACATGTTTATCCATAATATCCACCCCAAACACCATATTTGCCCCCATACCCACCACCCCAGTATGGATAGTAGCCGTGCCAATATGGATAGCCATAATAGTAAGGATAGAAGCCATAGAAGCCCTTATTGAGGAAACCATTTGTACCATTATTGTTGAGGACAGTCGTCGTCAACAATATTATTATTAATGAAACAAACTTTAATAGATTGGTTATCTATGTGTTATTAATTAAATTGGTAACAAAAAAAATAAATAAAATCAATTATAAGTTAGAAAATTATTTGATAAACTATTTTTTAGATAATATTATATAAATACTAACACACTATAGATTTATATATATAAAAAAAATTACTTTATTTATTAACAATGTTAATTTTGTTGTTTGTTATTTTTTGAAGTAATAATACAAACTTTAATTTTATATATTAAATAAAAATTGTATTTATCACTTTTTTATGATCATAAATTTTTTTAAAAATATAAATTTGAAATATGCATACAATTACTATCACTTTACTGAATACTATGAAAAATTTGCAAATATATATTTGACTCATAAATATATATTATTTTATTAAAAAATATATAACCTTCTCGTTTGGTAGAAAATAAATAAAAGAAAAAATTAAAACATTATATAATGAATATTTTATTTGAATAAATAAAGGTTTTTCTATTATAAATAATAATAAAAAAATTACCGGATGTCTACATATATAATAGACATATACTGTACATAAAAGATTGTCAATTGTCAGGTAAATTCATAATAATAATAATAATAATAATTGACAATAGATATTGAATTGAAATACAAAAATAAAATTAGACAAAATTTTTATGTTAATAAATTGTAAATTTTTTTCTCCATAAAAAAATCAAAAAAAAAATAAATAAATAATAATTACTTACGTAAAATCTCGACATTATCTTAACTTTTTTTCCTAATAAAATATTTATTTTTTCAATACATATGACAACACACACAACAAAAACACAGTATTAAAAAAATATATATATTTATTTATCAACTAATAATAAATATTTATTATTATTATAATAATAAATTTAYGTAAATAAATAAATGAATAAAAAATAGATATGCAAATAATGATTGAAATATTAACACAAATAAACAATTTTTTATTATTGTTAATATTATTGAATTAATAACACAGTCTTATCATAGATGCTGTTTTGATCGGAAAAAACTATAGTTTACCTAATAGTTGATAATTTATACTTAAATTTTTTTATTCAAAGCCCAAACCCATACCTACTATTATGTGGTCATATTTCCGGCTAATTATAATTAAGATGTTTGAACTTATTGTTATAATTATATAAAACAAGTATTTGCCTTGAAATCAATTATTATATATATATATATATATATATACTAATATTATTTAATACAATAT